TATACATATACACATATTCACAGACACATGTATCTGTGTTTTGTTTGTTTGTTCAATACACCCACCCACACACACCCACACACACACACACACACACACACACACACACACACACACACACACACACACACACACACACATATATATATATATATATATATATATATATATATATATATATATATATATATATATATGTATACATACATATCTGTGCGCGCGCATATACATATATACATACATACACACACAGACACACACACACACACACACACACACACACACACACACAGACACACACACACACACACACACACACACACACATATATATATATATATATATATATATATATATATATATATATATATATATGTATACATACATATCTGTGCGCGCGCATATATATATACATACACACACACACACACACACACACACACACACACACACACACACACACACACACACACACACACATATATATATATATATATATATATATATATATATATATATATATATATATATGTATGTATGTATATATATGTATGTATATATGTAGGTATGTATACATGTATATATGTATGTATATATATACATATATATATATATATATATATATATATATATATATATATATATATATATATATATATATACATATATATATATGTGTGTGTGTGTATGTGTGAAAAATCAAAATCATTTCACAGTGCCGAATGCAATAATTATGTCCTATTCAGGATTTTTCAACTTGACCTTTATTCATACTTTTTAAACTTTCCGATCGTAAGATAAGTCCGTGCATCATTTCCCGTTCGAATATTCCACGAGTAAGTGCAATAAATGGATGATTTCTAAGTTGAATTGCACATTCTTTATCCAATATTGCCAGTAGTAGATAAGTAAGTTAGTAGAAATGGATAGACAGAGAGACGATTAAAAATAGCCGAACAAGCGAGTGCTGCCCGGCTTCACACCAATTATTTCTCGCAGGATCTAAATCCGGATACGGCCCGGATTCGGAGTTTGATGATCCAGAGCAATCCGGTTGGGGAGCAGGGTTGCCTGGCGGCGTCTGGCAGCTCTGGCGCGAATTTTGAACAGAGAAAAGAAAAGAAAAAAAAAAGGGACGACGAGTTGCGGTAGAATAATCACGCAAAATAGATTGTGGTTTGGATGAAATTGGTCGTTATTTTATTTTGTGAATGTGGTTTGGAAATTCCTGCATCTGACTTCACTCAAGCGGCTTGTTAATAGAGGATATAGGCTCTGCTTACAACCTGAAATTGCATTTCTAGAAGGTAGCCCATTCCAAGAAAGCATGGGGTGTTGACGCCGAAAATATTGCTTAATGAATCACGTTTGCAAACAAAAATATCTGTTGCATGGCTAGCATTCTTTTGTAACATCTCAGCCTCATCTGTCTCATTCTCATTTCTGATGAAAAGTTCTTTTTTCAAGCTTTTATTTAACACAATTTACATTATACTATCTTTATGATATACCCAATATGATAAAATTCTTCACCGCCTTACATTAGGGACAATTTACAAATTACTCCAAAATGATAATATTGTAAAAATAACTGAATATAATATTAGAATAGCAGTAACAAATTTTTCAGAAAAACTAGGGGAAATTACTGTATTCTGAAAAGACACCTTGTAATGGTTATGCAAGATTATGACCACTCTCCACCATAATTTTTCTTCCTATACCATGTTATCAAATTGTATGTGTGTTCTGAAAGATCTTGCATTCTTCAGAGGATATTACTAATATTTCCCCAACTACTTCCTAAGTGATTTTTTTTCATGTCAAAGGAAATTGAAAACCTTAAAATACACCATATGATTATTCCCTCACCCCAAAACTGTGCTACACCTTCCCGTTCCATCCCAAAATATAGTTAGTTCTGGCATCAATGTCTCCTGCTAATAAGTCAGATTCACAGAAATGATCATGGAAGCTACACATTAATTATAATTTTGGAAATCCTAACTGTCATTTCTTTATTTTATTTCTTTTTCAAGTAATGTTGGATTATGTTCTATTTATGCATATAAAATCTGTATCAATTAATATCAAGACCAGATTCAGTTTGCCAACCGGTGGTATATATTGTTTTACTGGTATTTTATATATCTTGACTTAAGTTATGGTTTTCTTGTTTGCTTTTCAATTTCTGTGAGAAAATATAATATTCTCAATATAGTTGATGGCCAGATATCTTTGTTGGATGAATTAATGTAACATTTCCATAATCTATTCAGAATAACAAAATAATACACATTATCTGTGATAAATCTCATGGATAAATATAAGAATAAAGAAGCAAAGTATGAAAATAAGTAAATGAACAAATAGTTTCACAAGTCAAAATGCAGTTTATTTTTCTCTTCAAAATCTATATTTTTGCTTATGCATAGGATCCATTTCTGCAACACAGACTCCTTCACTTACATCTTATTACAAGGAAAAATAAAAGTTTCAA